TATATATATAGGTAGTTCCCCACTTTTGAAAGAGGGGAACCTTATCACCCCAGTCTTCCAATCCAATGGCACTGCCCCATGTCCATGCAATGTTGCAAAGGTGTGTCAACAAAGACAAAGAACTCAGAGCRGATGTCGTGGGCCATTGTGGAGTGYACCAATCATTCCAYAATAAAAATCCTACATTGGTTTTAAGTTCAAAGAACTTAAGTTTACCTCCTAGAGGAGACAGTTTAAAAGAATTTGGAGTATTCCCCTTTAGTTATTTTTATGAACAAAGAACCAACGTGGTCCTGCATTAGATGACTTGTATGCTAGTTAGAAGACAAGATTCATCTAAAACCAAATCTTATCCAGTGATTTAACATAAAAACACACCAACAAAAGTAACCTCTGAAGACAAGAAGACAGAGAGATCCTTGCTAAAATCATAGCCCAACTTTTAAAGGTCACTTCTTTTCAAAAACCAGTGGCTGAGCTTACTGTACCTTGGGATCAGCAGAGAATGGCTTCCTCCTTTGCTTTCAATCAAATATTTTCCTGAGGACAAGTTCATGATCACACCATCTTTATACCTAAATATGAGAAAATATATTACCGTAACTTAATTTTAATAAGTACAATGTTAACTGACAATATGTTTTAGCTAATTTAACATGATCATCCACACTTGTGTTACATTACTACAATATCATAAAGTAAGAGTGCTAACAACCCAAAATATCTTAAAGATGACTCAGATTACAAAGCGGAAGGAAAACATTTTACTCACTCACCATTTCACAATTGGCATGGGATAGCCTTCAACGGTACAGAAGAGTTTGATTGAAGTGTTTTCAAACACAGTGTGGGATCTGAGTCTGACAAGGAAATGTGGGCCCCTGACCATTGGCTCCTCACGCACATATTTTTCTGATATTTTTGTTTGCACCTAAAAGAGGGAGTGGGATAGCAAATATTAAAACGATGAATACCATACACCTCATTGTTTGCACTTCTCTATTTTGTCTTAGACCATTTTTCTCTACCATTATTCCTGGCAGCGATAATAATGAAACAGTTTTATGTTTTCTTACCACTTCTTGGATGCGAGCATGCGTTTTGTGCTCATATCGCTCTTCTGTGGCATCAGAACTGAAAACAAACAATAGTAAATGAGAACAACTCAATAAAAACTTCATTTGTAGTACATCCAGTACTGTWTATGCCAGTAGTACAGTGTTAGGTTTTGTTGTTTTAGTTTGGTTTGAGTTTTTTTCATACATTGCAAAACATTTTTAAGTAAAAAAATTTGCTGCTGTTTTATTCAAATTATGTTGAGCTCTTCTCTAGTGTGCTCTATATTCTTGAAAAACCTGAGTTTTTTATTTTTATTTTTAATTAGTAAGTGAAAAAACYTGCAATTTTAATTTATTATGATAGATTGACAAGAAAAGTATAGACAATGATTTTGCAAAAACTCAGAAAATCTCACGAACCTGACTTCACTCTGAACACACAGCTATGTGTTCACAGCTGACACTAAGAAGCTGAAAGTTTACCTGCACAACATTCTTCCACTTTACTAACCTGTATTTGGCTTAGGTTTGTGTCATACTGTTTATGCATTAGTTCAGTGTAGACATAATAAAAGTAAGACCCAATCATAACACTTTGATTTGCATAGGATATTATAAATATTAAATAATTTAAGAGCTACAACTCACTCTAAAAGTATTTGTTTTAGTTGCCTGTTCCAACGTCTATAAGAATATTTGAATCATCTGTTTACCATGGTGAAGATGTAAACAATTTTGCTAACTCTGTATGTTGTTAAATTAAGCTTGAAATTAGTCATGCTAACTCACATCATATTTGCAAAAAAAAAAGGAAATATAAGCAAAGTAACAAAGCAAGTATGTGTACAATAATAGTATATTTGGAACAATTAATCTGCTGCATCCACTTCATATTTAAATTGTTAGCATGTATATCATGTACCTGCTGTATTCTTTAACCACATATTGCCTTTGTTTATGATGATATTCATGGTCGTATTTCCCACGATAGAGAAGGGCAGACATGACGACTCCGTTGACACAGACCTGTTGGGCGAGCAACAAAACAAAGCAAAGACAAGGACGACAGTAAAGCTTGGGATAGAATTTTGTCAGTTTTTTTCCTAACAAAAATACACAAACTCCATTGTTGTGAATACAGTATTTTCAGCAATTCTCAGAACACATTTTGGAGTTTGATTCAAACAGAGTTTGATAGAGCTGATGGTTGGAATTCATTTTCCTGTTAGTAAAAAAAAAAACTTCCTGGAATATGAACACGTGATCCTCATAAAACTGTCACACACCACATACTCCAGACATAACTGGGATCTTTATGACAAAGCATTGCAGCTTCTTGACTCACAGGGAAAGTGACACTTGCTATGAAAAGAAACACAAATACATAGAGACAAAAAGCAGCTGATATTACAGCACAAAATAGTATTGAATAACTACTGATATTTTTAGCTTTTCCAATAATACAGTGTTAACTCATGTGACATCCGTGTTTTACGTGAAAACAAATGATATTCCTATTGAAACAAAAGAAAAAAATATAAATAAAAAAAGAGAGAGAAAAACTACCAAATGCATACTCACCCACAGGTTCCTATGTATTTTAAAGACGGTATGTTTTGAAATACAGTCTGACATACCAATAATAAAAACCTAAAGTAAAATAAAATCCAAAATAAAACAGGATCTTTTTAAAGTTTTTAACTAACCAAACATTTATAACTTGATGAAACAAAATCATAAAATGAAACACCTTATTGGTTGAGCGCTCAACAAATTTGTCAGTAAAGTTTCTTTACCAGCTAACATGTCCTCATCCTCATTTGCTCTGTGTCTTATGTCTCCAATATGGCCACCAAAACAAAAGCACAAGTTACACAAGACAACACAGTTGCTTACATTCCCTCACACTCTGCAGAGACCAGAAATAAGTTCAGATGAAATATGAATCAATTTTGTGTCCTTCCTCACCCTGAAATCTAATGAGATATGCTGCACCAGAGTCCCATTTCCATACCTTTGAAATGCACTTTGCAGCTTCAGTGACACCTCAACGTCCAATGCACCAAATCTGCCAGTCAAGCACAGAGTCACCCAGACAGAAAAACCTTATTAGGCCCAAATCATTGGCCTGTAACTTCTAACCRTGAACACCAATAATAGTTTAGTTATTATTTGACTTTTGTGAWGAAACAGTAAATTATTTAAAGCTTACATTTTTAAAGTCAATTTAAAAATGCATCATCAGTTTGCAGGACTAAAACAATGACAATAACCTAAATGTTCATACGAGTTAGGTTCACATCATCAGTAACTCATWGAGCTTGTTTGCCAAAGCTCTGTTAAATCCCTGAAGTCTTGGGTTGCAAACAAGCAACATCATTGTATCRTCCACTGAATATAATAAATAAAACTTGCAACAGCTGTCACATGGTMGTTATTGGGTTTTCAATTAAAAGAAGCAAYAAAATCAATTGCCTCCATGCAGACAACTTGTTATTGCAGGCAGCTCATCTTATCCCACCAGTCCTGCACTTTAGTGGCTCTCAGGTCAGCCAATACTGAAACAGCACAACACCGATGCCAAATGACACCCAAGCCTGTCTAACTGTAACTGTAAACCTCCAAAACTCCCAGCCTTACCCATAAAAAACAGTGCAAAACAGATACTGTAATACTGTTCTGCAAATAAAGTAAAACACTAAAAATGTAATAAATTAGTGGTTTGTAAAGCTAAATTGTTGAACTACAMGCAAAGTGTTCTTGTTAAACTCAACTGTCCTGTATCAAATACTCTCAACTAATGTAGTAGGATAAACACAAAGATGTATTGTCTGTTGCACGTGTCCAAAACAAAGCAACTGACTCAACATTGAGTGATTAACACAGAGACAAAAAGTGCTCTCTGTTGGTCACTTGTAAATTCCTTTTAGATCACAACACATTAAACATCATCCAGTATAACAGCTATACTTCTTTCATCACTTTTAACTATCATTAGCAGTGGCTAAGGATTACAACACATCTCTTGGCTGTACTCACTTTACCTCATCCCACTAATCCCAAATGCTGCCCTCCAAGTTCGAAATGAAGATAGGTTAAAAAAATAAACAACATGGCAGAGAAAGGAGCAGAAAACATTATTTAAATTTTGGTTTTCTTACCACTTGAGATTTTCTTTTCAGCAACTTTGGTTGTCAGCCTGAATCCACAGGGAGTCAGCCTAAACCAAGTTCTGTACGAGGCCAACACAACAACCATTCGTCTCCATCCGCCCCCACCACCTTGCCTCTCCCCGAGGCCTTATAAGGACAGAGAACTGCCTATATATAACTGGTATCCTTCAAGACTTGGGCCCACCAAAACCAGTCAACTATTTGATTAAATTATTTTATTCTTGGCAGTTTTAAAAGAGCCAAGAAAACTATGTATCAAGCATGACAGAAGATTTGGATAATTCATCACAATGCACTTAAATTTTATTTTAAATCCAATTTAACAGCAAAAATGTGTGGCTTCAGTGCAAAAACAGCTACAGTACTCAAAGTATTTAGATGTCTTGATGTAAAGTTTTTAACTATACTACAATACCTTTAAAACTAAATGTTGATATTTTATTGTGCAGTAGAAACAGCTTCATTTAGACCTTTAACCCTAGCTGCAGGTTGAACACCTAGCTCCTGCTTCAAGAGCTTTTCCCCRTGTGCTCTGAGGAACATTTTGGGACTCTGTGTTGCACACTGAACTTTGGCCATGTCCTATTTATAAAACCAGCTATGATTACAACTTGACTATTTCTGATGCCGTGGGGGAACCGTGAGACACATTTCAGGTCTGAGACAAAATCCTKTGAGGGGACAACATTTGGCACACTGGAGACTTGTGAGGGAGCGTGTGATGTGTGAGTGACGTAGATAAAGAAGGCACTGACTGACGTAAGAAATAAGATTTCAAAATTTTAGAGCTGACTAATTGGTTTTATTTCAAGCAAATATAATAATACATTTGAAAATATAATTTATTGACTTTGAAAACTAAAATCATTTTTATTTATTTTAAAAGACAACAATCTAATCTATACTAAGCATCTGACATGAAAAGTTGTTAGTGACAATTTATCTTGTTACAGTGGAAGAAGTTGAGTTTGTGCCAAGTGTTTTATTACAAAATTTTGTTAACGTGAAAATAAATCAAGAAAGATGTCTTAACATGTGTGTATTCACTACATGCGTTGTAATTTGTCTTTAAAATAGTTTCTCTRTGTATAAACAAGATTTTAGACTCAATACATTTATTGTAGGCCTGCTGCTAAAATTGCATGTTGGATTTTCTTCTTTAGATTTTGTGCTCATTTRTCTGTGAAAAGGAGAGATGTAGGGTCCCCTGCTGGTGGTCATGTGAAAGTTTGCCTCTGAGACTGACAAAATGCACAATGCAGGTTTACATGCTCCGGGTAGTTAGGTTTGTTTATTTGTTTATTTATTTATTTATTTCACTAATACACTTTTTATTTAGTAGAATGAAACAAAAACACTCTMGAATTTAGTGTTATTTAACTTATATTGAACAAAATGAACGTAAACATATATGCAATATATTTGTGTTGCTTTTTTAATTTGACATTTTGCCATGGAAAAATAATTGAATAAATATTCAATATATTTCAAATAAATAACTATTCTGACCTTTCAGACTCATGTAATTAGTGTTTATCATATGCCTAGTATATMAAACTGTTTTGATAACCAAAGAATGGCCTCATTCTGTCGCGCAGGTAAATTGTTGCCAGTATAGTAGTGGATAGTTATTTTATTTATGCAGTTCTGTTCAGTCTCGATGTCYGTGACACAAAACCGAACAACCTTAGATAAATGTTGCATGTGGTTGTGTCGTCATGGGGGCGTTTGTATAAACTTAAATCACAAAATCAAATCAAATTTTTGATTCTAAACTACGTAGCTTCAAGAGCTGGCTCAACCGGAGGACGCCGTATAACAAATCAAGTAAACCCATTATRTTGCGTCATGACGCATGTTGAGTGCGAAGCTCCTGATTGGTTGAGCTGACAGACCGGAAGTCCAGCGGCTGAGAAGTATAAACAACTTTTTTTTTGTTCGCACTGACTGCACCTCACCTCAGCAGTCTACAAAAACAAGGAACTCCTCGAAGAGAGACAGGCTCTGTTCCTATACTCGGTAAGGTAAATTTAAAACGCTTCACATTAAACATTTCGACACTTGAAACACGGTCTTACAACAAATTGACTATGCATTTTTAACTGCCTTTACCTAGTTTAATATGGACTTGTTGACTTCTGTTAACTTAATTAGGTCTTTGTGCTCGTTTGTCTGCTCCCAGGACAAGTACTTTTCTATTTTGTAGGCATTTAYGAAAATCAATTCTGAATCTGAGTCACTGGCAATGGGTATTTTTCTTATCAACTTACCAAAATCAAATAAACAAATGGACGTCTTCATCGTTGTGTAACATGGGTATTATCTAACATGTTTGGTTTTGTTCACTTCCCWTAAGTTTTAATGATTGTAGAACAACTTAAGGAATAATACTGTATTTGAAGAAATAGTAAGTTTTAGAATCAATGTTAAGCTTCAGAAATAGTTCAGTGTTCATTGTAAGGCCCTTCTTGACCAGGCCCCTCTCTTAATGCTATAAAAATTTACAACTTTGTTTGTTGGTTTGTTTGTATATGTCCAAAATATCTTTTCAAATTAGCCTACAGTCTTCAAACCCAATCATGTTTGGAAATCTTGTTCAGTAGTGTTGGTCTTTTAATTTGACTTTCTTGCTTATAAAGGACAAACTGTTTCTGCTAAAACAACCAGAAGTTATGARTCTGTCAGCTTAAGTTTAGGCTTTGCACCTATTAAAACCACTTCTTGTTTTCTAACACAATGAAAAGTGGACGTCCTCTTCAGTTTGAGTCACCACTTCCCTTAATGACCAGAAATAAGTTTACTGTTTAAGGCAACATTTTTATCGCTATGTTTATTAGAGTTTTCAACTAAATTTAATCTCTATATATGTGTGTCTAAAGTGTGTGTTATAGATGTTTAGCTTTTTTTTTCCCCTCAATACATTATCTTGTGACCTCTTCATAATCAGAATTTACTGGCAGTTTCAGCCAATACTTCCTCTTTGGTTACAGTTTATGACAATCTTCTCAAGCACATCAGTTTTACTGCTTTATTTATTTTTTTATTTATTTGTTTTGAAAAACATAAATGTTAATGCATTTTACAGTTTTTTTAATGGATTATGGGATTCTGATGTTTAATTCTGAGTTCAAACCAGAAGGAGACATTTAGTGAATTGGTTATCTTGTTGTAGGACAGCCATGACCCTCACCTCTTCTCTCCTGATCGTCCTGGCAGCAGCCAGCCTTTCTGCTGCTTCACCTCAGTAAGTACAGAAAAACACTATTTACAGATGGTCTGGTTAACATTTCCATGGTCTACTACTTCATTTTTTTTAATTTGCAGTAAATGATCGGATTTGTTTTCTTTTTAATATATAAATATTAAACAARCAGGATTTTTCTAAACATGTTGATGTATTTTAGTGAATTGTGGAACAAAGTGACCCTGACCCACCAATGGCCCAACACCTTCTGTTTGGTAAGTCTCTGACTGCTTTATCTGTTATATTTATATTTTTCATTCCAAATATGGGAATATGCAGACAAATTCACAATAAAATCAAATAAACAACTTTCTATACAGCTCTTAGACTCTAGGAACTACTGTATGTCCACTTCAGTCTGTTCCTGGCAGAAAACTTGCAYGGTATCTACAGTATGTAACCCTTCAATAAAGAATTTTTGTTGCAGAATGAAAGATTAGGCTACGAATAAACTGTTTTTGTGGACTTTATTTTTTCATTTGTCCACCCTGTCTTATTGAATGGTTCCTCTGTCATTAAAGTGTTTTATTTAAAAGCCTAATTGGTCCTAAGCTGTTTCAAGATGAGTTAAAACTCATCAATTAAAGCCATGGATTTCATTAACACTTCTGTCAAGATGGTGTCAACAGGTGTTGTTAGGATAAATAATAGTCCCCAGTGATTGGTTGAAGTAAAACAATCTAGTCCGTGCTTTTTCTCTTGATACCACCTGATGTCTGAGTCACAAGACTAGCTGTGAGTCAGAACAGAGACTGTCTAAACAACATTGTTTATCTGAGCAACATTGTTTATCTGAGCAACATTTTGCAGTTATGAGTGTATTCTGTTACAGCAGAAGTTACACATCCTATATTTCAAGCTTTTGAAAGCCCCATTTCTGCTTATTAGGATTTTCTGGAAATGTAAAATGGCCCAGCATTGTTTTACATGCTGTCCTGCCTGCATCAGATGCATGATCAAATATGTTTGAAAAATTAGCATTTGAATTGTATAATGTGACTTTTGTAATTGGTACTGATTTTGATCATTTTTAAGGTATGTTTT